CTCTCAGTTCGCCTTCGAACCTGGAGCCCGAATCGTATCCAAAGATTAGACTACGGAAAGAGCGCGCTCACGGGAACACCTCGTTTCTTTTATAAAAAAACACTGACGTAGAAAATCGTTCGGCTCGATGGACGCGTCGAAGAATGGAACGGCTCGCGAGGGAGGAGAGTCTCGATACGGAAAATTCGCGGATCGTGGAATTGTTCGCGGAGAAACCTCGATTAGAAAGGATCGAGAGGCACCGGTCGTTTCGGCACGATCGAAGAAATCGTATCCTCGGAAAAGGGTCGCGTGTGGATCGAGGTAGATTCGTCAACTGGGGGGCACGAACTGCTTCACGTTTCGTGTCGAGGAGAGACCATCGTGCGCCATTTTCTTCCTCCCTCGAACAAACTCTGTCGGAACCGTTCGCATCGGCGATCTTCCAAACGAGCGTTAGAAAAGTAGAAAATCGTTACAGCGACTTTTACTCGGAATAAAAAAAGGTTTAGCCTAGCTTTTAATGTTAGCCTTAGCAACTACAGAGCGAGTGCGTCACATGCGTCGACAACTATTCCTCTCTATTCCGTTTCCTTCTCCTTTTCCTCTCTCGCTCCTCTCTAACTCTTTAGGACTCTACAGAGGCGCGAATTATTTCCCTCGAAATCCTCCACACAGAACGATCCAACGATCGATAATAATCATAGGTACGTCGACGCGTCGAAACTGACTAATCGTTTTCTTCTTCTTCTTTTTACGAATCGAATCAAGTGTCTCGAGGATCGCTTAAACCCTTCGCTACTTGGTCGACCGCTGTCACGCGTTATTCTTCCATTCTCTTGACGAGGTGTAATTTCACGGGAGAATGAAATTTTTGTGAAGTGTCGACGATCGACGATGCAGAAGCAAAAATGGGTGGCGAATTAGTGATCGCGGACCGATTTCTTCTCGCGAGAAGGAACTCGTTTCTTTTTTTTTTCTTCTTTTCCCTCGTTCCTGCGTCGCACGAGTCGCGATAGGAACTGAACTGAGCCGATAAATATTCGAGGGGCACCTTAATACACACGTTCAACAACGCGAAACCACGTAGCGAAAAATTGAAAACGGTAGGGAGTACAAAACGTGTGTAGGCGCGCGGCGGCAGCCATTATGGTCTCGCGAAGTTGCAGCGGTTCTCCGGCGCGGGCGGCGCGCGTGCACAAACGCTCGAACAACTGGGATTACTTTTTTTTTTTTCATCGTCGCACACGCGCGAGAGCTTTTCTCGTTTAACGAACGAAACTTGGCTACTTTTTTTTATTTTTAATTTTAATTTATATCGTATATGTATATATATATGTTTGTGTGTACATGTAGAAAAATCACTGGGCCTCGAAAAGAACAAACGTAAAAGAAAAAAGCTTGTCTCTCGCTACTCTCTCTCATCTTCTCTGCCTCTGTGTATGTGTGTGTGTGTGTGTGTGTGTTTTTCTCTCCCTGTTTCCGACGTTGCGCTGTATTATTTTTCTAACAATCGGACGAAAAGCGAGGAAGCTAAGGAAATAGCGAAAAAAAAATCAAGGATTGAAATGATTCTTCTTTTCCTTCTTCTTTACCCTTTCATTCTCTCTCCTCTCTATTTGGCACTCTGAGAAAAAAAACGTAACGAGAGACGATGATCATCTTCTGTCAGTGGTCTCTCTCTCTCTCTCTCTTGAATAAAAGGAATCGAAGAAACTGAACGAGAAACGTGGGCTTATTTTTTTTTTTTTTGTTCGTCGCGTGGCAAAAATCGGACGATGATCATATCGTATAATACCGTGTGACTGATATATAAAAAACGCACTCTTCCAGCTCTCGTCGAATTATTTGGCTATCCAAAAAAAGGAAGGGTTCTTCTGCGTCTCTCTCCCCACGTGTTACGAATATTCTCAAATACCTTCTTTTTTTTTTATTTTTTCCCGTTTTTAATCCCTCTATGTCTCTCGTTCTCTCTCTCTCTCTCTCTCACACACACACACATACACTCTCTCTCTCTCTCTCTCTCTCTCTCTTCCACTCGCATACACAACATCTTACTCTTCACTCATTTGTGCTACTCTCCCTTTCTCACCTCTGTCGCATTCACCCTGAGTTTTACACATTCGCCCTATCACACTCGCTAATCGTATAGTGTGTGCTCGGTTCAAATGAAACCCGCCGCCATCGTGACCATCTCCAACGTACTTTCCCCTCTTCACCTCGCGTCGAATTGAACCGAACAAAGGGAGAAAAGGGAATCAACCTTTTTCTTCATTTTTTTTTCTCTTCTCCGTAACGTTCCTTCTTTGCGCGAACAGAAGGTCGAACGATGATCGCGTGATTAAAGTGGAGAACGACGGACGGGTTGTCATTGGTTCCTCGCTAAAAACCTCTACGGGACATATATAAATCTTCCTAGATATACTTCCCGGCGTATAAATGGATATTAAGTATACTTTTTTTTTTCCTTTCAACTCGAAGAGTAACGTAAAGAAGGTACACGATCGACTATACTACCATGGGATAAACGGTGGGCGGTCTGTTTGTGGGACGGCCGCTATTGATGGACAGCAACGACCAGCATCGCCAGAAAAAACGAAGATTCTTTCTCTACCTTTCGCGATCATCCACTCTCTCGTTCTCTCTCTCTCTCTCGCGAATTTTCTCATTTTTTCACGCATTCACTCGACCATTCTCTCTTTCAAGCACACACACTCCCTCTCTTTCTCCCACTTAATTACGTATTTACACTGGCTACTTCGGGCGCCCGAGCTTTCGAACAACCTTCGAGGGAGAATTTCTTCGAACGAGGAAATAAAACACCGAAATAAACGTCGAAATGGAGAGAAATTAATATCCAGGAGATTGGAGATAATTTGGTGATTTTATTGCCGGTCGAGTTAGAACTGCAACTTGAAAATCGAGATCGAACGAGGAAGATCGCTGGGCGCCCGGCCGATCAACGTGAAACCCATCGAATGAGTCGTAGATCCTTAAACAAAATCAACATGGCCGCCGTAAACGTATAAACTAATAAAATGTAAAAAAAACAACGTTCATCGATTATCTAAGTAACAAACGATAGTTTTCATCATCTCTTCCCCCTTTTTCGCACGAAGTGACCATTTTTTACTTCTTTTTACATTTTTTTTTTTTCGTATTTTTTTTTTCTTCCTTACACATGTAATGCGTATGTATACCTATATATTACATACAGGGAAGTCTGATCATTTTTTTGTTTTATTTATTTTTACCTTTCTGCGTTACTTTCTCTCACACACTCACAC